ACACACACACACACGCAGAGACTGCAGACCCAGACCACACCGCCTGCCCCACTCCGCAGACTGGCGTGCTCCCTCCCTCAGTTCTGACAGCTTGTGCCTGCGCTCTTTAGTGCTTTGTAAATGGAGTGTCATGTCCTCTGCATACGGGGCGGTTTTGCCTCTTTCCTGCCGCCAAGTTGCATCCTTGTTTCTTCTTGTCTGATTGCTGTGACTGGACTTCCCGTAGTATGTTGAACACAAATGATGAGAGTGGGCGTCCTTGTCTTGTCCCAGAGGTTTAGAAAGGCTTTTAGCTTTTTTCTTTGAGTACTGTGATGACTGTGCTTGTCATAAATAGCTTTTATTACATTGAGATGTCTTCCCTCTGTACTCACTTTGTGAGTTTTTATGAAGAATGGATGTTGAATTTTATCAATGCTTTCCCTGAACCTTTTAGGACGAGCATGTTGTTTTGTCTTTTCTCTTGTTGATGTGTTGATTCACATTGATCGATTTGCATATGTTGAATTATCCTTGTGACCCTGGTATGAATCCAAGTTGATCATGGTGTGTGATTCTTTCTGTGTGTTGTTGAATTTGGTTAGCTAATATGTTGTTGTGCGTTTTACATGTATTTTCATAAACAGCTTTGTTCTGTAACCTTTCTTTTTTGGTTGTGTCTTTGTCTGGTGTAGGTATCAGGGTGACGGTGGCTTCATAGAATGACTTTGGGAGTGTTTCCTCCCCTTCAGTCTCCTGGAAGAGTTTGAAGAGGGCCAGTATAAGCTCCTCTTTGTCAGTTTGGTGGAACTCCTCCATGCAGCCACCCAGCTCTGGCCTTTGGTTTGCACGGAGTTTTTATTGGTATGTTACAGATTCTGTGTCACTTCCCGTGGCCGCTCTGTTCAGGCTGTCTACGTCTTCTTGACTCAGTTCTGGCAGGCTTGTGTCTCTAGAGACGCCTGCATCTCTTCTAGGTTTGCTGTCAGATTGGTCAACACACAGTGGTTCGTAGTACTCTCTCATAAACTTTTGTATTTCTGAGGTATCAATTTTTAAAACTTAATTATTAATTAGTTTTGGCTGTGCAGGACTTCCTTGGTGGCTCAGATGGTCAAGAATCTGCTGCAATGTGAGAAACCTGGGTTCGATCCCTGGTTGGGGAAGATCCCCTGGAGGATGGCATGGGAACCCACTGCAGTATTCTCGCCTGGAGAATCGGACATAGGAGCCTGGCAGCCTACAGTCCATGGGGCCGCAGAGAGTTGGACACGCCTGAGCGAAAGAGGACAGTGCTGGGTCTTCCTGCGGCCCAGGGGCTTTTCCCACGTCGTGCTGAGCTCAGCGCAGCTTTTCTCTTCGCTGCGGTGCCTGGGCTCCTCGTTTTGATGGTGTGTCTTGTCGCAGGGCTGGGCTCTGGGCCCGCGAGCTCAGCATTTGCGGCCTGTGTGGGATCTTTTCCCAGCCCGGGTGGAACCCACGTCCCCTGCATTGGCGGCTGGATTCGTACCCACCAAGCCACCAGGGCAACCTGGTAGCAGCTGTTGTTCCTCCTGTTTCATTTCTTATTTTATTTATTTGAGTTCCATGTTGTTGCCTTTTGAATTTGATGTGATGGGATGGACTCCTACAGTTTTATTTCAGTTATTCACCATTATGCTTGAAAACTGACCTGTGTTACTCTAGCAGTCCACCTTTTTGAATTTTTTGTTTAAAATTCTGTTGCAGATATATACACCAAACCATTCATTTTGGTGAAAGTGATTTCTGCAATCTTTTCTACTGGGAACAACCCACGTGTCCACATTCTGCTTGCACCCTCGTGGCTGTGCACGCATCTTCCTCTAGGTTATGCAAGTGTGGACCAGTGCTGTGTCTCTGCTTTTCACTGAGAATTGCTGCCGACTCTCTAGGTTGAGCAGGGTGATGAGTACACCTGCCCGTGATATGCGGGATTCGTCAGAGTCAGCCTTGTCTCCTCCATCGTTTTCTCCTCCCCTCTCTCACAGATGAACTAGGAGGTGGGCATCTCATCTCAGGGAACCTGGGGCATGAAACTGAGGTGGAGACCATCCTATGTGACGTGTACTGCAAAGGACACATCTGTGCATGTGGGGCCATCGGTGGGGGTGGGTGGACCAGACTCGCTCCTCTGGGAAAGCCAGCCTGCTCCTTCCTTCCCACCCGGCATTTAGCCCATTCACCCGGGCTCCTGGAGGTTGGCCACGGAGAGCGTTTGCACCAAAGCAGACACACAGTTCACACGCCTGGGCTCTTTAAGAATTTATTGCCTGATGATTGTTTCTGTGCTGGGTCTGTGTGCACAGGGGTGTGTCTGGTTGTGATGAGCGGGGCTGCTCCCTCGCTGAGGCATCTGGGCATCTGCAACACTGGCCTCTCTGGCTGCGCGCGGGCTCCAGGACGTGCCAGCCTCAGTCACTGCGGCTCACGGACCCAGTTGCCCCTTGGCACGTGGGATCCCCCAGGATCACGGATTGAACCTGCGTCTCCTGCGTTGGCTGCCAGATTCTTCACCACCAGGGAAACCCCATATCAGCACTCTTTACAAAACGATATATTCCTGAGCTCATTTACCAGCGTAGCCCTGACTGTCACTTCTAGCGCCAGGGATCCCATCGCACTGACAGTGTTTCTGGAGAAACTACACGGGTGTCATCTGATGAGGAGAGGAGGGTGTCAGGGGCCCAGGGGGTTCAGGGAAGAATCTGGATCCATCTGTTCCAAACGGGGCCCCGCTTACACCCATTTATTCAGTTACTTAAACGACGTTCTGTTTCTGAGAAGGGATGGAGGTCATTGCGCACACCAGAGACGGCGGGCATGAACAATGAGGCTCACATCGTCCAGGATAGCGGACAGAGCCTGAGGGCCTGCAGGGTGAGGACCCGCCCCTGCCACTGGGATGCACCTCCGGCCGGGAGTGGGAGGAGCCGGGAGTTGGGGCGTCCTCCCCGGGAGGGAGGGGGGAAGCCCCGTGAGTGGAGGCCGAGCCCCCAGGTCCCCCTCCCCGGGACGCCTGGGCCTCCTCCTGCCTCCGCGGAGCGTCTTCCCCCCCGGGGTCAGAGGCTCTTTCTGAATCTCCCGGGCTGGACGCTCGTGTCGGGGGCTGGGGTGCTCTGGAAGGTGTCGAGGGGCCCTGTGCTCAGTTCCGGGCCGCGTCTCGGGCTCCTCCACGGTCGTGCCGAGCCTGGCAGAGCAGGACCCCGAGGAGCAGCAGGACTGAGGCCGCGAAGCCCATCCGGATGAGATTCTGCACCGTGTAGTCTGGGGTGAGGGCGCACAGGTCAGCGCCGGCACAAGCACCTGCCTCTCGGGAGAGGACGCGGCCCCGAGCCCAGCCCCTGACGGGGACGCTGTCCCCGTCCTCACTCTGGGTCTGACCGCGGTGATGGGGGAGGGTGTCGGGGGCCCGAGGGTCCTGAAGGGAGGCTGTGGGTGGGCCGTGTCCTCCTCGGGGAGCCTCCCGGGGGCAGGATGGGGTGGGGGCGGGCCTGCTCCTCCCCAGACTGACCCCCATCCCGCAGCCTCAGGCCCCTCCAGCCTGTGGCTCCCGCGGCATCTCTGCCCGACTCCCCTCCGGCCCATGACGATCTGAGGGGCCTTGTGCCCCCAGACAATCTCAAAGCGCCCTGGGGTGGGCTGTCTCCCTTGAGCACTGAGCCCTGTGACTCCCCAGTTGTTGAATTGGGGCCCGAGGGTGGGGGCTGGGCCCATGGGTCCTGGGAATGAGCCCAGGAAGGGGTGGGCTGGGCTGACCCGGGGACCCCACCTCACTGCCCTCTGCCCTGCACGGGCCTGTGGCCTCCCCGAGACCGTCCCGGACCCCAGTGCGTGAGGAAGGGGTGGGGTGTGAGCTCCGAGGCCCCTCCCTCAGGGGACCCCTCCCTCAGCACCCCCTCCTCCAGGACCTCCGGGGCCTCCCAGGGCACAGAGCCCCGAGCTGCTGAGTCAGACGGACAGACGGGCCTCACCTGAGACCAGGAGCGCCAGGGGCTCGCTGGGCCGTGACAGCAGGTGGGGCTCTGTGCTGAGTGCGCGGTAGCACCTGTAGGTGCCCCCGTGGGCCGAGCTCACAGGACTCAAGGAGAACTCGGCCTGGAACCGCCCGCCTTGATCCTGGGCGCGCAGATGCAGGGGGTGATGGGCTGCTCCCTCCTGGGACAGAAGGAAGGTGTCCGTCCCGTCTCCTGACTGACACAGCAGGGTCACGTTCTCCCCCGGGGCCACCGAGGGGCCCGGCCGTGCTGAGAGGGAGGGTCTGTCTCTGAGCCATCCTGCAGAGAGGAAGGGGGTGCGGGCCCGGCCCTGGTTCTGAGCGGGACTCCGCTGCCTCTCTGGACCCTCAGCGCCGTCTGTTTCTCCGAGTCTCCCCCTCCCCCACCCCATCTCTCTGTCCCCTCCCTGGGACCCCTCCCCCTGGTCCCAGCATCACCCCTGGGGCTCCCCGGTGGGGCCTGTGCAGAGTCTGGCCCCCGACTGACCCGCTGGCCCCTCACCTGCCACCAGGAGCTCCAGGGGGTCACTGGGGGCCGACCACTCGGAGGAGAGGCCGTGTCCACCGTAGCATCTGTACCGGCCCCCATGGACGGTGCCCACCGGGCCCAGGGGGAAGTCGGCCTGAGAGAGCCCCCCCTGGGCCCTCCGGGCAGGTCGCTGGGGGAGGTCCTGTCCCCCCTCCTTGGACAGAGCGAATCTGGCGTAGTCCATGTCAGAGCGACACTGAAGGGTCAGGTTCTGTCCAGAGGTGACGACAGGGCCCTGCGGGGTCAGGAGGGACGGCTTCCCAGACAGCCCTGGGGAGAGACAGATGCCAGGTTGTTGGGACCGCGTCCCCCGTGGACACCCTTCCCGGCCCAGCCCCAGGCCTCGCCTTCTCTGTCTGTGTGTCTGTCCTGTGACCACCACGCTCTCTCTCCTCCTCACGGGGCTCCCCTGGGAGCAGAGACCCCAGGACGTTGTCTTGTCTGCACAAATGTGGGGTCAGGTCGGGACTTCCTCACCTGAGACCAGGAACTTCAGGGGGTCGCTGGGGGCTGACCACACCCAGGGGGTGTCCCTGTTAAGGCCGTAGCATCTGAACGTCCACCCGTGTCCGGGGCTCACGGGGCCCACGGGGAACAGGGCCTGGGTCTGCCCGTTCGGGCTCCGCTGTCCATCCAGAGTCTGAGAGGACTCATTTTCTCCTTCCTTGGTCAGAAGGAACCTGTTAAATCCCTGACGGGAGCCACACTGCAGGGTCACGTTCCCTCCCGAGGTCACCACAGGGCTCGGCAGGGCTGAGAGGCTGGGTTTGTTGTAAGGTCCTAGGAGAGAAGGAGGCAGCTGGATCCCTAGGACTCCCCTCCACCCCCCGCCCAGGGCTGGGCTGTGAGAGGGACACCCCCTGAGAGCAGACCCCCTCCCGAGGGCAGAGCCTGAGGCCCCCGAGAGTCTCTCACCTGTCACCACCAGCTCCAGGGGGTCACTGAGCTCTGACCAGCGAATTCCCCTGAGATAGTAGCACCAATAGCGCCCTGTGTGCTGCTCAGTCATCAGTGAGATGGAGAACTTGGCCTTGTCCCCGGGCTCCAGGGGTTTCTGTCTGTCCCAGGGGACTGAGCTTCCCTCTTTATCCAGATGGAACTCCTGGGCCTCTAGGGGCCCCTGACACCAGATGGTCACGGGGCTCCCCCAGGGGACCACAGAGCCCGGCTCAGCCCAGATGGTGGGTTTGGGGGGAGCCCCTGGAAGGAAATCAGAGGCGGGCTCACCAGGGGTCTGCCCCCAGGCCCTGGCTCTCAGCCCAGACCTCCCAGACTCCCCCTCTATGAGCCCTGAGCTGCCCTCCCCTCCTCAGGGCCTCGGGGTGACCCTTGTCCCCAAGAGAGGAGAGAGCTGGGCCCTGGGGACAGACTCACCAGCCTGCACCTGGGTCCTCAGGCCCACACTCAGCCCTGGAAGAGAGAGCCCTGTGAGAGGTCTGCCCTCAGCTCTGAGCAGCTCCTCTCGTCCCCGGGAGCCTCCTGGGCCCTGGGGTCCCCTGATGGAGCAGGCTGGCTGGGTGGGGGGTCCCTCCAGTCCAGGGCTCCCCCTGCCCCTCCTCATCTCACCGAGGCAGAGCAGGGCGGGGAGGGTGGGGGCCATGGCGTCTCCTCCCTGCGGTCCAGGCCGTGAGGATGGAGGAGACCTGGGTGTCCTCCAGAGAGACAGAGCACAGGGTGTGTCCTCTCCAAGGCTGGGGCTTCCTGTCACGTGGTTGTCATATCAGCCTCCCCGCAGGAAGGGGAACAGCCTCTTCTTGAAAGCCTGGTGTCGTCCCCATGACAGTCCCAGTGTGTTCCTGAGACGCCCCTTCCAGATGAGGACGGCCAGGCTCCTTCCCTCTGCAAGCCTCGCCTCGGGGTCTGCTTCCTCCTCTGCCCCTCCATCAGCAGGTCCCTGGGGTTCCTCACTGTGGCCGGGTCACCAGGCCCTGGAGATGCTTCGGGGAGGATGCCGGCTCCTGCTGCCCTTGGGGCTGAGATCCCCAGAGACACATCGTTTTTTAATTGGAGGATGGTTCCTTCACAGTATGGTGCTCGTTCTGCCACACATCAACATGGATGGGCCATATGTGTCGCGTGGCCCTCCCTCTTGAACCCCCCCTAGGCTGTCACAGAAGCCTGTGTGGGCTCCTGAGTCACACGGCACGTCCCCCGGCGGTGTGTTTCACACGTGCTGTGTGTGTTTCCATGCTACTCTATTCCTCACACCCTCTCCTTCCCCGGTGTGTCCACAAGTCTGTCCTTTATGAGGGACGCACGTTCAGCGTCTCCCTGGGGCTCAGTTGAGTCCGCGTGGCCGAGAGCCCAGAGGAGATGCGCAGGGAATCAGGATGGAAACTGACTCCTCCCCTGCCCTGGAGTGGGGAGCCCCCCATCACAGCCCCCTTCAGGGGCGTCTCTCTTTACCCCATCACTGTCCAGCCCGCCTTGCTGGGAACAAGCCCCCGGGGGCTTCCTGCCTCCTCGGGGCCCCGGGGTCCTTGGGCACAGGCTCCTCCGGTCTTGCCATCACCTGCAGGCTTTCGGGGGTGTTGATTGGGGTCAGAGCTCTCACTCTGGTGGGAACAGATGTTCCTATAAACGTGTGCCCGCTGCTCATGGGACCTTGAGCGACGGTGCCCTTTCTCTGCGCCTGAGCTTCCTCCTCTGCATGTTATCCGAACCCCAGCCCTCAGAGGGGCTGTGGGCTCTTGCTGCCGTCATCACGGTTAATTTCCAGACGAGGTGACAGGAGAGGGTGGACGTGATGGGCTCCTGGCTCAGACTGCACCCAAGGGGGCGAGTGTGGTGCCCACCCAGAGCCTCCTCTGCTCCTGACGCTGAGACCTGCTCCGGAGAGTGTTTCTGCAACACGAAACCACAGACAAGTGCAGAAGAGAAGTTCCCCAAATGGAGAGGGAACCACAGCGAAGCGGGGAGAGGTAGGCGGTGTGGCCCCGGCAGCGGGGATCATCTCGGGGTCAGAGGGAGGTCCACCCGTGTGGACACAGAGAGGGACCCATCCTCACAGAAACATAAAGGGAGGCAAGCATGTGGATTATTTCGTAGAAGAACAGGCAGTTACTGAAAAGAGTCGAACAGTTTTGACGTGAACAATCCAGTAGATTCAACATTTTAAAAAAAGTCAGGCAGTCAAGCAGACAGCTGAGCGGCCACATGTGAAGTCGGAGTATAGCACTGAGGGAATGTTCCGGAATGCAGCAGAGAGCGCAGAAAGGCAATTCAGTAGAGGCGGGACTGTGCTGAGGGCCAGTGTGGTGTCTGTCTTAAGTGTCAGAAGCGAAGAAGCTCACGACAGACAGCAGTGGCTGAAGAAATGAATAGCGGAGCCTCCTTTCCTGAGGAGAACCGACCTGGGGAGGGCTGGGGCACATGGATGTACACGTGACACCCGAGGGCGGCCCTGCTGGGCCCGTGACTGAGACTCGGCGCTCCTTACTGAGGGTTAGGGTTCGATCAGGGCTCAGGGATCCAGACGCGGCACACTTTGGCCAAAGACCCCGCACCCTGCAACCGAGAGCCTGTGTGCCGCAGCTGTCAACAGGTGGGCTATTCAAAAGTAACATCTGTATCTTGACCTTTCATATAGATAAAATGAAGGTCAAATTTAAAAAGTATTTCCTACTGAAATGTACAATTTGAAACAGTTTATTCTAACTAAATTTCAGCTGAAAAAAAAAAAATGAAGGCGGATCGGACTGAGACCCTGAAAAGGCGTTCTTGCAAGGGGCGGAAGCCAGAGCTTCATGCAGAACACATCGCCAGCTTCCAGGAGGTTCTGTACCGCCTCCCGCTGTGGGCCGTGCCTCAGCCTCACAGCCGCCAGGTCCTGAGAGAGGAGGGCCCTGGGGGCCTGGATCCCTTAACCTTGACAAGTGTTTTCCTCTCCTTGTACTTGAGTCACCTGCTTGATTCAAAATAGGAAGTGTTCTCAAGTAACTTGATCAAAAGAGAATGAGTGTGAAAGAAGGCATTTCCAGAGGTGCACGTCCTTAGATGCTGACAGTTTTCACACGGGAAGCAATACTCAGAGATGGCAGAGAGACAGTGAGGTGCAACAGAGAGGAACGCGTGGCCGAGATGAGCTTTGGAAAGTTACACAGACACACTTGCACGCACAAACACACCCACACGTGTGCACAGAGACGTGCGCACGCCCACACACGTGTATAAGAGTATCCAGGGTTCTTCAACTGATCGATGTGGTGTGGTGGTGCTCTCCCGGGCCGGGCCTAAGCCGTGCCGGACGAGGGACGGGCGTTCCCAGTGAACGGGTCCGCTCTTCTCGGTCTGTCCGCGGGGCCCCTCGCCTGTCTTTCCCCCTTGCCCCTTGGGGGGTGTTGGGGTGGGGCCTCCGGCCCTGACCTTCGGTCTCCCGTCCCCCGCCTTGGGGTGTCTGGTGGGGCCGTTGGTCTTCGGACACAGCAGATGCGCCTGCTCGCCTTCCTGGCGTGTTGCCCCGCGAGCGGCCCTCCCCGTGGTGGGGAGGGCTGTGCCGCTGCCACGCCACACGCCCCCGCACGGGTGTGTGAGCGTGCCTCGATGGACCCTGGGCGGTGGCCCTGGCGTGCTCCAGGGCGTCCCTCAGGTGCTCGAGGCCGAGCGGTGGTGCCGTTTTCCCTTAACCCCGTGTCCTCCTCGGGTCCCCGCCACGGCGCTGTGCGTGTGTCCCATGAGCGGCTCTCTCTGGGTGGGAGCGGGTCGAGGCGGTGAGAGCATTGTGTGCTCCCCTCGTCGCGGAGGCTGCCCGATGAGGCCTTGCAGGGGGCGGGCGCGGGCTCTGCCCCGGCCCTGGCCGCGCACGCGCTCCTGTGCGTGGTCGTCCGCTTACCGGTACCGCAGACCCCTCCCGCCCAGTTGAGGACTGGCGGCTCCCGGTGTGCCTCCGTGTTGCCCGAAGGAGAGACGGCGCGCCCTCGGTGAGAAAGCCTTCTCTAGCGATCCGAGAGGGAGCCCCAGCCGCTGCCCCTCCCGAGCGCGCAGTGGCCACCGCGGCGACTGCCAGAGCACGTGGGCAGAAAGCTCCCCTCCCCTCCGTGGGAAGCGGGCTGATGGGTGCGCCGGCCCCGCGGTGGGGCCGTGTGCCGCTTGTTGCCTACTGCGGCCTGCGCCTCCCCCCTCCGAGTTGGGGGAGGGTCCCGCTGGGCCCCGCCGGGTGTCTGGCGAGTGGGGGGGCCGTGCGTGTGTGCTGTGTGCGCCAGGCCGCCCCGTGGTGTGAGCCCAGGGGGAAGGGGGTGGTCGCGGCGCGACGCCTGGTGGGCCCCGGCTCCCCCAGCCCCGCAGCCTTGGTGAGGGGGAGGAGCCTGTCGCGCCCGCCCTCGCCCCGGAGCCGCAGCCGGTGGCGGTGTTGTGGGCCCGGTCTGGGCCGCCTCGCTGGAGAGCGTGTCCCCAGGGTGTTGAGCCTCGGGGTCAGACTTGGATGGAAGATTGATCTGTCGTGGATGGATGGATGGATGGACGGATGGAGGAAGGTGGCTGGACGGCAAGCCGGCCCTGGCGGCGGGGCCGGGTTGTGGGGCCCGCTCCAGGGATGGCCGGGAACGGCCGGCGTCCCAGGCGTCGCAGGACCGCCCTCGTGTGTGGGTGGCGGTGGGATCCCGCGCTGGTTTTCCTGGTGGCCCGCTGTGTCCCGGTGTTTTCTGGTCCCCGGGCCGGCGCCCTCGCCCCCGTCCCGCGGCCCCTGCTGCGTCCACCGCTGCCGGCCTTCCTCCTCGTCCCGTGCGTGCGACCCCCTTGTCCCCTCCCACCCCCGTCCCCCGCGGTCTGGGACCGAGCTGGCCTCGCCTCACGTGGGTGTCGTCTCCCGGCCTCTGTCGGCCGGTGGCGGCCCCGGGTGGCGCAGTGCCCCCGGAGCCCTGAGGGGGAGTGGGGCGGGCGGGGGGAAGCCTTCGGCGCACAGCAGGGTTGCGCGTGTGAGGGCTGTGGGGGCCGCCGGTACGCGGCGCGAGAGCGTTCTCCCGGGCCGGCTGCGGCTCTGGGTGTAGGTGGCGGTGGGCGTGAGGCCCCGTGAGGGGTGCGCCCCCCTCCCCCGCGCGGGGGTGGGGTGTGTGGGCGGAGAGGCCAGTCTGTCGTTCTGGGTGTGCCGCGGGACCGGCCCTGTGCTGGGAGGCCTCTGGCGGTGAGATCCCGCGCTGCGCCCTAGCGGCCGACTCGCTTCCCCCGGGTCGTTTCGAGCCCATCCCCCTCGCGGTGGCGCGCGG